AATAATGAGGGTATGAGAGGAAGAAATGGTAACTATAGGATACATTCTACTGTACAGAAACTGAAAATCATGTTCACGACTTACCACAACGACAGGGAGGATGACCATAAAGGCTAGTCCATACACCAACAGCACCTGCAAAGGAAAACAAAAACCATCAGACCAGATCATGTTTTAGATAAGACCCGCAACAGTATGCATCATGATCCTGGATAACATTAGGGTCTTTGGGGTATTCATCGCATTGGCTCTCTGCTATTCAAATACAAAAAACAAGGAAAGTTTATCATTTAAAAACTACATTGAGGAAAACAATGAATATATACCAGCATTGAGTTCTTCTGGTCAACAATCCAGGCAGGCAGGGCAATACCAAAGCTGGTAGCTAGAAAGGGAGACAGAAGAGACAATGGACCAAAATGGCAAGATCCCTTGTTTTCATACTGCAGTAAAAAGCTCCCTTCAACAGAAACTGTTCTGTGTGAAAATTATATAATTCTGTGAATAATATCCATCTGCATGTCGGCCAAGACCATGAGAGAAAGAAAGATCGTTTTCCCCATTTACATTCTTTAAAAAGTGACACCTTTATAACTACAAAAATTCCTGAAAACATTCAACAATTACTGTTCTAATCTACAGAATTTAAACCGCACAATCTGTTCTCAGAAGGCACCAAAATCTGTATAAAACGTTATTTTTGGATCGGTAAAAGTGTGAGCGAAAGAGGGAGACACTCTCTCATCACAAGTGTCGGGTGTCAGCTCTCACTGCAATGAATGGGCTGTGTTGTTTCAATTCATCTTCCACTGTTTAACACGTTCATGGCCATAAGAGGCTGACTCACCAGCATCAAGCACGGAAGGTGTGTCAACACATAAAAATGCAAAAACCTACTGTGGGATTGAGAGTATCTTCACTTACCTCCTGGACCATCTGGGTTACCGTACATTTCCCAGTTCTGCCGCGACTGTTCATTGGTCAGACTGTGGGGGGAAAAAAAAAAAACAAGTAGACAAAAGTAAATGAAGCGATCGATACTAAATAATGGGCTGTAGCAGGCAGTTACTTTCATTATTGATGGCTGATGTAGTTTTGCTGTCTGGATTATTATGTCAAGACCTGACTGACACTTACGCAGCATAGGCTTTGGCAATTCTCATGAATGTGGCCTCATCACCACCTTTGTCAGGATGGTACTTGAGTGACAGTACACGGTATTGCTTCTTGATTTCTGACAGAGATGCACCCTGGAGACAGAAATATAATTATAGCAACTCCAAAACCAAACCATACATAACAGATATTGTCAAATCCAACTCTTTTGTAGTCATCAAAATGCAGAGGGATCATATTTTTTTTATCCTGCTCAAGAAATGGATCTAATATCTTGAGCAGACAAGATAAAAATACATAAACTTTCAGGACTTCATTTGGTCATGTCTTGTGTGCGTTTACCGGGTCCAAGTTAAGGACTTCATAAGGATTGTACTCCTGGTATTCTCTGTCCAGCTTAGACACCTTGTAGGCTAGCAGCAGGAACACAGCCCACCCAAATAACAAGGCTGCTTTCCTGAAAATGGCAACAGACAAACAGGAAAAAAAACATTACACACAAACATCTGAATTCTCGGGAGACAACATCACACTTTCTCACTGTGGCTTACAATTATTATAACTTTTAAGCTATTCTGCTGAACCAATTCTGCAACTAGCTTCCAGCATGTTAAAGCTACAAACATGAGGATGTAATTCAAACACTAAAGAAAGCTCATCTTAATCTACTGCATACAAGCAGAAGACGCAGGACAGGTTCTGACATTATTGTTGTTTAGTATTTACACATGGAAGTTGAACTTGTTTCCATGACAATGGCAAAACCCTATGGGCTGCTCTGCAGCATCTGTTGCCATGACAACCACTTACTAGCCTCAGAGTTGTCTGAGGAGCTCAACCAGAAAAATACATGATGGATTCCCATAATAAACACCATCATTATGATACAGTTGCCAAGAGGAAACAGATACTAAGATTTTGAGAGAAAGTTTAAAGAAAATCATTTTGATTCATGTGACTGAATTAACATGTTGGATGCTTGCACCAGCTTCTGTCACAAATCCAATGATGCAAATCAATAAATGATCAATGTTGAGAGAAAAAACAGGATGCGGGTCTGGTGACAGAACAGGAGTGGAAAGTGGAAGTATGAAGCTAAACAGATTAAAAGGCAGAGACAGAACAAAGAGGAGATACTCAGACAGGCGTACTGTGATGAGGAGGCAAATGCGTGTGACAAGATAGGCAGAGCGAGACAGCGAAGAGCACTCGAACACCCGTCTTTCCATTAACCCACACACACACAGCACGAATAAACAACGCTGAAAAAACAGGGTCATGTTAAGAGAAATGTTAAACAGCGCAACACAGTGTTTACACCAACAGCACACGTCACTGAGATGTTTACACATGAAAACAACATAAGCCAAACTTGTACCACAAATAAAAAAAAAAAAACAAGCACTTCCACATACGCATAAGCTCGAGTCTGTCTACACTATGGACAGCAACGTGGCCCATGTCTCATCTTCACACAACAGAGACAACATCTCTGTCCAGCTGGAAACTGAAGCAGTAAGCTATCAGGAACAGCTCCAGCGAATGGAGGATGACTGAGCTTTCTCAATGCAAACAGCTCAGGCAGGTCACACCCAAACAACAGAAGTGATACAACATTTGCCAACAATGGAGAAGGGAGCAAACCTGCTATTATATTGGCAGGCAAGTTAAGGCCAATCATATGTCAAGACATTTGCAAGGAAGTAGTCCAACTGAAGCTGCTCTTGGATTAGGTGAAACACGTCAACATAGTTCCACAAATAACTATAAATGACAGTAAATAATTCATGCCACATGAGGTATTCCAGGCCAACTTTAAGTAAGAATAGTGTGATCAGCTTTCAGAGATGTTACCAGCTGGTACTATGGAAGAATTTCAGGGAAAGGGAAGCCTGGTAAATCATTCAATCACCCACAAGCTGTGTGCTGACAAACATTTACCCTCCATCAATTTGTGTGTATCGTGTTTACTTTCATAAACACTAGAAACCCAAATCCAATTCATCGGACTCACTTTAATGTTGGGACGATGCTCTGCTGTGACTTCATCAGCCTGAGCCGGTACCACAGACACCGGCCATGTACCCTCCTCAGGCTCTTCAGACGCAGTTGTTCTGGAGAGACGATGGACACAAAAAGAGATTAATGACACATTAGTACTGTCAAACCAGTCACAATCAATACTGAGAATGTGGTGAATGAAGTTGAGTTTAAATTAGGGGAGAGTGATATTTCCACTGAGAAAATATCATTATTGTGGATATGTTAGACTAGCAGGGAGAGGCATATGTTCACTTCATTCAGTGAAATAAGTTCAGAAGTTTGTATAACGTTACTGTAAAGCGACTTGGACAGAGAAGATTTAGTTAATGCCGTGATTTTAGCTTGGATAACCTCACTTCCATGAAATACTTCGTCTTATATGGTGAAATCAATATCTGAACTGTTAGCAACATGTTAAGCTCTCTATGGTGACCTGTCATTTAGCTATTCCCAGTGGACCAGCTGAGTAAAGTCTGTTAGCATATCTTACATAACCCATGTTAGATATGCTGTGTTGTTGACAAACTGTAGAGAGATACGGATATGTCAGCATAAAGTCAATAAAGGCACATAGACTCTGGCTTTTAGGGGTAAAGCTTTGGCTGCACTAGCCAGCACTTAGCTTTACGAAGCTAACCCACAGAACCCACAGAAGCAGGCAATAGTGGCTAGATAAGTGGAGTTAAGACAGATGGATAACCAACGTGCTGCTAATTAGTAAAGCAGGACGGGTAACTGTGTTAACACTGACTGACTTGTACTAAGCTGTGAACAGTGAAAGAGACGTGGACTGGTTACTACACCGTTTGGTTAGGTTGTACCGCCTCTGCGTTCAATAGCAAGCTAGCCAGATTAACAGACTGCCCAGCGGTGGGTTTGAACGAGCCAAGATGCTGTATGAACTCTTCACGTTGCACTGGCTGAGGTTAGTTATTTAGCTAAGTTAGCACAGAGCCAGACATCGGGCCTTACCAGCATTCTGATCCCGGGGCCAGAGGTAATATGTGGCCGGGATCACAATAAGTCCGACGAAGGACGTTAGGAAATAGAAAAACGTATTGCCGCTGTCATCGTACTGGAACTGTTGCCCGGCCATTTCGTAGCGGCGCTTGGGTCGCCCTTCTTCTCCACCGCTGCGCTTCCCCCTTCTAGCCCAATGTGTGCGACTTGACAGACCGTTAGCTAGCCAGCTAGCATCCAGCCAAGAGAGCTCTGATCATCGGTGTACGTGGTGTACGCCTGCGCAATGTGGCCTTTCGTCTTCTTCGATGGGTGATTCAGCGCTTTTCCCGAGTGTCACCGACCCCCAGAGGTTGCGATAAAGATAGACGGAGGCGCTGAGAGTGGATGACTTTTTGAACAGCGGAAACATACCTGCGGACTTCAGTGAAGATTTACACGTTACACATTCTAAAACTCCTGCACTTATGGAAACCTCATGCCACTATCTTGAGTTGTAAGGAAATGGCAGATATAGCCAAGAAGTCCCACAAAAATACCAGCAGGAGAGAGGCAATGTTTTTTTCAGGGTTAAGTCATGGTTTTGCAGAATTATCTGTTATTTCTTTTTTTGTGTCTGAAAATATGCTGAAAGTTAAACAATGAAAAACCCCTCTTCACATAGTCATGGTGAGGTGTTGTCCCCCTATGAAAAGATATAGTGGCACAGACCTGCCATAACTTAGTGCAGATCTTTAGATCCTTTGTTATAACAATTTACATGGATTCCTAAAAATCATAAAATTGCTATATTAATATATCTTTTTTTTTAATCAATATTATTATTTACAGTTCTGACAAATGAAATACAAAGTCCAACTCTTCATTTATTGTCTAGGGACATTACATTGCATTTCACAAAAACAAATTACACGAGCAGTGCCAATGCAAACAGCTGAAAACAGACTGTATTTTATTCTTGGCAGCATTTCTGGAAACCATTTAGATTTCAGTTTGTTTTTCTCTGTGGTTGACCTTCAGATGTCTGTACATTGTCCTTGTTTGACTTATTTAACATTTGTACGAGCGGGCTTTTATCTAGCACTGTCAGTGAGGTTACACCCCATCTAATGAAAGGAAAAAGAATTTGGCTTTTTGCATTTCATTCTCTCTGCAGATTGATTTTGTCACATGTGCACCATAATTTCATCCAGAGGCTTGCGTTTCAAATCAGGCACGGTGGCGTCTGAAGCAGGGTAACCTACAGGAAGAAGCATCAGCAGCTTCTCATTGGCCGGCCGCTTGAGGAGCACCCTGAGCTGGGGGCCGCAGTTGAGGGGAGTCGATGTGACGGTAACAAGACCCGCATTCTGGTAAGCAAATGGACAGAAACAAAAGATATTTAGTTGCTTTACCAGACGTGTTCTTGTATGGTCTTGTTTTGAACTGCATTTATAACCAAGAAAATGGGGATGGATTGACCTATAATTCTATGTGAAATTTTATCCTTCACCTGTAATGCAGCCAACAGAATCCCACAGGATACAGAGACACTGATTTCATTGTAGTAGTGTGTCTTTTTCTTGCTGTTTGGTAGAATCCCATAGGTCTGTTTGAAGATGAGAACCAGGTATGGCGCGACATCCAAGTACTCTTTAACCCAGTTTGTCCTGCAGGAGAAAAGAAGTTGTGAGAGAGAGGAGAGATGTGTGAAATTAGATGTAGATAAACTTTACATTATTGTGTATGCATGGCCAAAATGCAGGATACTGGGTTGGGGATTGAATGCTGTCAGTGCAGTTACTTGAATAGTGATACGAATGTGTGCAGTAAGTATTGGTGCTCACCTTAATTTGGCCAAATCATTGACCCACTTGTCCCCCATCCTCTGACGGTAGTTCATCTCCTCCTCCTCCTCCACTATCAGCCTGATCTGGTGCTTCGTCTCTGTGTCTGACACCACAACGAACGTCCAGGGCTCTGTGTGTGCTCCACTTGGGGCCGTACCTGCCCAGAGGAAAAAGAGGTGGGGGGTGAGTATACAGACAAGAATTAGAGAGACAAAATCATTACATAACTGCATTTAACATTTATACAAGATGTTAAACAGTGGTCCATGGTCCACTAGCACGTGCCTGCAGTGCGGATGACATTATCTATGACTTCTCGTGGGACCGGCTCTGGGCTGATGAATCGGACAGATCTCCGCTGGTTCATCAGAGTGTAGAAATCCTTGGATCTCTCCAGCATTGTCTCCTCAGTGTAACGTTTCGGGGAGTAGGGCACATGTGGAAGATCCTCCTCCTCATTGCTGTCCACCCAATCACCATCCTCTAAAACAATGTGGTACAGAGAAGCAGGACCAGTGAGCAACTTCTTACAGGAAAAATTCAACATGTTAATGAGGGCATTTGCAAAGATGGTGCTCTTGGATTTGTCATGGAGCGTCCAAGTCAAACATCCAAGACATGTTTTTGTTTGTTGTAGCTGTTGAACTGTGGGACCCTTTTTCTTCACTGTTAACTTGACAGACTGCAAGGCTCTAAGGCTACAACTAACAATTATTTTCATTATCAATTAATCTGCACATTCTTTTATTCAACGAATTGATTAATCTTTTGTTTATGAAATATTTTTAAAATTTGTTAAAAAAATTGCTTTCACAATTTCTGTGCCTTCAGGCTGCGATAATGTCTTCAGTTTGCTTCTTTTATCTACCTAACAGTCTAAATACTCATGACAGTCAATTTACTGTCACATATGAAAAAGAACAACAGCAAACTGAATGACATTCGAGCTGTAACCAGAAAGTGTTTGTCATCTTCGCTTGAAAAACAAAGAATTGATTAATTCATTTTCTGTCCATCAACTAATCAGTTTACTGACCAATTGTTGCAAAATCATTATGAATTGTCCACAGCACCAGAAACCATTTTTAATTAATCTGATCAAAAACAAGCAAATTTAGAAACATGCATCATGAAAGAATGATGTTCACCTAAATGATGGATTTCACTTATATAAAGCAAAAACATGATTATGTCTCATAACACAAGACTGCTGTCTGATGTGGCTGATTAAAAAAACTCGACTCTTTTTAAAACTTAAAAAAAAAAAAATTTTTATGGAAAGTAAAAAAATAAATAAAGAGAATGAAAAATGGAAAACGCCAGTGTCTTTGTATCACATCCATATCGGCTACAGTTCATTTATCATTATCGATTAACTAAAGCTTTGGCTGATTAGACTACGTCCAAGCGTCCAAAAGCGTTCCGCTACGGCGCGTGCACTTTTCTTTGACGCGCAAAACACTGAGAATTATCGAGTTTTTACGTTGCTCTAGATCTGTGAATTGAGTTGAGATTGTTGTGGCGTACAGATAACTTGTTTTCGGGTACAAGCATACGGCTGGCTCGTAGATGTGAACAAAAAATGTTCAGCTCCGCCAAGTGAGAAAAAGGTTCCTGCTCAGCTCCTACCGTCCTCTCTGGCTGTGCTTTCTGTATCGTCCTGTAAGTCCTGGTCCACCCACGGTCTCAAGTTCGCTTTCGACGCCGCTTTAGTTTTGTCCGGAGAGGTCGAGGTGGTCTCTGTGTCCCGTGACCTCACCAGCATGAAGCCTATCACCAGGCACAGGACCACCGCCAGGACAGGCGTGAGGACGGACAGGAGAGCCATGTCTGCCGGAGATGTGAGGAGAGGCACTTGATCGTTGAGTGGCTGAGCTGAGCCCAGACCTGATGTTATACAACACTTTACTGTTATCTGGGGTGGGCCTATATGCGCTGAGTCAGAGCTATCTTTGAGAGAAATATCCCATCAGCTTGCAGCTCTGCTGGAAAAAAAAAAAAAGGTAGGCTATAGATCCACTATGACTGGCTGCCTGAACGTGGTCTGGATAGTTATCATAGGACGGTCATCAAGAAACAGTGTGAGCAATATAAGCTTTAAGTCAGTGTTACAAAGTCCTTTAATGTACTTTTGCCTAAAGTTAATATTCCACTTATTCCTGTTGACAATGAGCCCTCAGTGTGTTGCTACATACTCTATAAGTCAAAGGTTCACGTAAAGTTAGTTCAATAATTTAGTGTGAATTTCTATTTAGACATTTTCTGACAATCTTGCAAATCCCTTTGATGTTTTATTTGCTCCAGATGTAACATCTACAGCAGGAATTATTATCTGTTACCCTTTATTAATATTTAATATTTTTATTTTAGTTGAAAAAGCTTTAGTTTAAAATGGGAAATTCTGCTATTGACAGGTGTTGACCAGAAAGGGCCAGGTGTGTAACGTTGGACTTAACCTGCAGAATCGTTAAACATGGGTTAGTTTGCATCATCTCAGAAGAAATGTAAAGTGATTGAACACCAGATCTCAGCATTTATTGCACAACATAATGTTCAGTGAAATATGAACCTATATATAGCCTATAAATACTTCTCTATATGACCAACAGGTGGCGCATCTCACTCTTCCAATGGCTGACTGGAGTGTTTGGGTTCAGACATACTCAGCACATGTTGGTGATCCAAATTCAGGTGCGCATATCTAGCCATGGCCTATCAGCCTTTTCAACTCAGCTATACATCACATGAGAAGACGTAGATACCCAACAGATAGCAGCATACTGTTCAATAAATGAATAAAAACACAAGATGGCAGAGGAGCGCTCCTGGAATTGGGAAAGACCTTCTGCTGAGGCTCTCCAGCATCTGCTTGTTCTCCAGTGCGCGCTGATGCACACACAAGCACCACTGAGGGAATTTAGCTGACACACTGCAATAGAAAACGGCCACCTCATCTCAACAAATCGTTTCTATCGCATTTTACTTGTTCAGAATAATTCGTTTTCTAGAACAAGTTTTGGAACCTGTTAATGCTCTTTCAGGGTCACTTTGAGAATCTGTAATTAAAATCATTGCAGAAATTCCCTCAGTTCGCTGCCATTTTAGCGACAGTGGAAAGGTCATTTTTTTAACAGTCATGTTTCACAGTTATTACTTGAAATTCGCCTTATGAAACACAGTGCTGGAAACTGGTAATTTTATTCCACTCTACAGAAGAGAGGGACACTGGTTATAATTTTAACAGGAGACAGGCGCCTAAGTCGCTCACTTCTTGCAGTGTTGGCTCCGCCTCCTCGGCTGTCTCCGGCGCTGCGCTTTAAATAGCAGCTGTTTAAAAGCTCCTCACCATTCTCCTGTCTACCGCGCAGTACGCAGTCCTCACTCATTCACACATTTCGTCAATAATAAGCCCTCACATCCCGCAATGTCGGCCGCCAGCACCGAGACCAGTGCCCCGCTGCCCACCGCTGGCAGCCGCGTCTTCTTCCAAGCTGCCCCCGGGGTGGGCTGCGTGGGGTCCGGCCCCATCACCGGGGACGACCCGGTCCAGAAGAAACAGGGCAAAGTGACGGTCAAGTACGACAGGAAAGAGCTGCGGAAAAGACTCGTCCTGGAGGAGTGGATCATCGAGCAGCTCAGCGAGTTGTATGACTGTGAGGTGAGTGGAGCAGAAATCTCAACTCACACACTCACGCGCATTCACGCAGACACATAACCATATGGAGACGGGGGGGGGGGGGGGGGGCACTGGTCCTGATTACCTGCTTTGACAAATGTGTGGCCTTATGACTCATAAAATGATACCAAACTTAGACTCACTCACTTAATCTAACATATAGTAGATGATTCCTCCTCTGTCTGACTTGAGTTGCATTATCAGGAGCTGCTAGAACTGCGGTCTGTCTTTGCTCCACATTTACAATGGACTATACTCCACTAAATAGCCTGTGCCCTCAGGTTTACTGGTGCCTCTTTGTCCTCTGCAACATTGCAACCTGCTGGCTTATGGCTGAGGGGAGAGTAGCATGAAGAGTCTATAAGAGACACAAAGCTGTCTGGTTTAACAATGTAGCTCTTTGCTGGACACACTGACTCTAACCCGATGTATTGTCTCCTCTCTCACACGCTTTGCCGTGCAGGGAGAGAGATGGACCAAGGAGGTCGAGAGAAACCGCACAGTTGCGCCTTTTACGCACCAGTCACCTCAGTCTTTTACTGAAAATGTGTCCATTAACCGATTTCATTGAATTTACTTAGATTGACAACATGCTTCTTTTCCCGCGGGTTATCATTTCATTCTCGGTGCCGGGTAGTCCTCGAGAGCAAAAGGCATGTCAAAGAGCCCGTGGCAGTGTCTCAGTTTTCTCTGTGGTTGTGTTCAGAGAGACAACATACATTGAAATCATTTTCTCCAGCGTTTCTGTGGCAGATTTCTGACCTTTTAAACCCCTTTTCGCCTTTCGTGGGAGGATCTGTGGCCAGACGATATTGACAGCCACATTATTTTGCGCTCTCACGTTCACAAGTCGCATTCTTTAACATTTAAAGGGGAAGAGGGTTTGTGTGCGTGCGAGTCTGTGTATGTGCGTTGGGAAAGAAAGAGGGAGAAGACAGGGGGTGGGGGGCGCGGAAAGAGAGATATTCTGTAGGTGCTGGGGGAGTGTGTGTGTGTGTGTGCGTGTGTGCGTGTGCCCGTGGTGGCCACACACAGTATGCTGCCAGAGCCAAGCTGGGGTGGGGGGTTGGGGGTCGGG